GTTTACATAGCGTCACCGATAATAAGTAGATATATTCAGAAGCCCAGAAAATAATGTAGTAATATTTTAGGTACGTGTGTTATGTTACTCTAATGGCATAGTAGACATCCAGTATACGCACATAGTAAATATTATTACGGAGGTGATGGTTGTACTGTAATGTATTAAGACCACACGCTGTAATAACTTAATGTAAAATAAATTGTATATAAAATTAACAATGAATGATAAATACTGGTTGTTGACAATGAGTCTTATGGAGCTGGTCTAGTTGAGTCAATATGTAAAAGGAAAAAAATGGTAATAAACCCTAATATTGCCCTTCTCTCTTACTGTTGACATCTATGAAATTAATTGATAAATAGTAAATCCTGACTACCAGGTGTCAAGGTGTCAGGGTAAGTTTGTGTCATTTATTTTCTGTTGTTTAGAATTTAGGGGAACTGTTTATTCAAATACTTGTTTTGTGTGTGTGTGTGTGTGTGTGTGTGTGTTTTGTTTTACATTTGACTCCCTAGATACTTAATAAGTCAGAATAGCATGGAAAAAAGTTAAGAACGGGATCTGTACTTACTGAACCAAGGGATATAACTAAAAAAAATTAAGGTGATCGAAGCAAAACGGAAGGAATGACACTGATTGTGGTTCTGTAGTAAGTGACGTACATTAATAACAACAATAATAATAATAACATAAATAATAATAACAATAATAATAATAATAATAATAATAATAATAATAATAACAATAATAATAATAATAATAATAATAATAATAATAATAATAATAATAATAATAATAATAATAATAATAATAATAATAATAATAATAATAATAATAATTTCACTCTTGCAAGACTTCTCCCACTCCACAGTATCATAGCGTGGCCGGAACTAAAAGAAAACAAGAAAATAATCTCCCTCTTATTTCGCTGTCATCCACACAATCTCACTACTGGGACACATGTGGCTTTGTTTTGCTCCTCCACAACAGCACCCTCGATTATATCCCCGTCGCTTCTCATAGCCCGACCATCACCCACTTCCAATACCTCCATCCCCAATAAACCACTTACATCTCAGTGCGTCCTTCACCCCATCTCTCTATCTCCTTGATCTTTCCATCTCCCTCCTGTCATCAACTGAATTATATACTAATTTATTTTTTTTTACCAATCTTCCTCTTCTCCTTGTGTCACCATACCGAGCGTCCTTGTCTTATATTTCTGTAATGTTCTTATCCACCCGAGGTATTGCCCTGAAACACGTCATTTCTGTCGCTTGTAATTTGTTCTTTTTCCATCTCTTGCCTCCATAGTCCAGTCTTCACACCCTTTAGTTGCGTCGGTTCAATACACACCTGTATCTTTACCTCTTCCTTTCACGCTATTCTTTCTCTTCATATTTCTTAGTGTATCTATTAATGTCTTTCCTTATGTTGCACTGTGGTTTATTTTATCATTCGTTGACACATCCATCTCCAGATATCTGCCCACACTTCACTTCCCCTCTTCCAGACTAATCTTTATTTCTCTCCGTTTTCTTTTCATTTTTATTTGTATGATTTTTCTTGTGTTTACATTCGTGATTAACTTTTTCCTTACAATCATTAATATCTTTTCTTTAATGGGACGACGTGATGTCATTTTCTTGACTATTTCACCTGTAGCATGTCTCATTCCCCCTCCTTCATCTCCACCTTTCACTTCATCTCTGCCCCTTCACCCCTCCCCTTCACCCCCACCCTTTCTGCCCCTTCACCCCTCCCCTTCACCCCCACCCTTTCACCCCTACCCCTTGATTGACTCACCATCTTCACCCAGCTCATCCGTGCCCTTAAGACAGCCCAGCAGCCCGGCCAGCACACACACACACACAGTCCATTACAATCATCGCCAACTGTCCTCTCACCACGACATGACCAGGAAATATGGCCGCTCTTCTTCACCTGGCTGAGGGGTATGTTCGTCAGCTTAACTCACCTCACAGACAATTTTTATTTACTTTACGTTATTTTTCTTCATTTATTGTTTTCGTTTCCTCGTTCACTCCGCGTGTAGGTCCGTCTGTGCGTCCGTTCGTCATTCCGTTCGTGGCTCCTCCGTTCGTATTCCCGTGTGTGTGTGTCTGTCTGTAGGCCTATCTTTGCATCCGTTCGTAGGCCTGTCTTTTCCTTCGTACGTATTTCAGTCTATGCCTTCGTCCGCAGTTCCATCTATGCTTTCGTCCGCAGTTTTGCCTATGCCTTCGTCTGTACGTCCTTCCTTATGCCCGTCTATACGTCCGTTCCCTCAGATATCAAAACAACAACAACAACAACAACAACACTGTCCACAAATACTCAACACCAATGCATCATATCAGTCCGCATATATATATATATAGATATAAAACAACTAAAGGATTATATCAATTGTACTCTTTTAACAGGTATTCCCGGTAACGTGAACATCACACATGTAAATTACACCTACGACACACACACACACACACACACACACACACACACACACACACACACACACACACACACACACACACACACACACACATACATTTATATTCAAAACATTTATTCAGCAGCAACAGTATACAGGTGTAGTGATTTACACCTGTGTTATGATGTGATGATGACTCTTCCTGCTGGTGTATCTGTCTGTCTGTCTGTCTGTCTATTAATATATATCCTAGTTATCTGTCTATTGTAGAGTATCTGCCTATATCTATATATCTTTCCGTCTATATCAGTCTATATATTTATTTGTGTATCTGTCTCTATATATATTCTATATATGTTTAGCTATCTACATCGCTATCAATTAATTTATCTGTCTCTCAATATATAAATTTAAAAGTCTTATGAAGGGCAAGTGTAGACAAGAACAGGCAAATGCTAACACACACACACACACACACACACACACACACACACACACACACACACACACACACACACACACACACACACACACTCAACATGCGTGGGTAGTCTACATGTTAATTTAAGTATGAACATTTATAAACAGCTACCGACTCAATATTTCGGACCCAACAGAGTAATAATGTTTTAATACGGGGTTGAGATACTAATTACACTTAGATGGAAACATTAACTGGTTGGGGATAGGAAAATGTATTACGTTAGGTCTTTGGTGTATATGAAGGGAGATGGTGTGTGTGTGTGTGTGTGTGTGCTGTCTTTCATTTAAATAATCTGTTAGTCAGTATGCATGTACGTATTTAGACACATACATACATACACATACATACATGTTCATATGCACAAGTATATTCACTTACCTATACGTGTACACAAATACTAACTCAAAACATACACACCACCCACACACACACACACACACACACACACACACACACACACACACACACACACACACACACACACACACACACACACACACACACACACACACACACACAGGGAAAGAGACCTGTGATTTTATATACCCAAGTGTAACAAGCGTAAAAGAGAGGAGATGGAATAAAGCAGAAGAGAAAACAGTGAGATAGTGCTAAGGGGGAGTAAGATGGGGTGAGGGAGTAAGTGGGGTGAGGGAGTAAAGATGGGGTGAGGAGAAGATGGGGTGAGGAGAGATGATGGGGTGAGGGGAGTAAAGATGGGGTGAGGGGAGAGAAGATGGGGTGAGGGGAGAGATGATGGGGTGAAAGCATATGAGGTGAGGGGAGAAGATGGGTTTAGGGGGAGGAAAGAAGAATTGACGACAGAAAGCAGGGGAACTATTTTGAGAGAAGAGAGAGAGAGAGAGTTTAAAGGAGTCATAAATAAACACAATAACATCAACCTTAGAACAATGAAGTTAAAAACCTCTCATTATATTAACTCAGGAAGCATCAAAAGGAAGATCACTGTGTTCCTTGTATGTGAGTTACTTGTGTTGCCAAGTTGATCAAAGTCAATATAATATTTCAAAACTAACGCCAACACACAACAAAGAATCGTATTCCCTCCCAACTACGACATATAACACCCAACGTCATCACACACACGCAGTAAACCACAGGATTCAGTAGAGTTTTATCTAGTGACTGAGCTTCTCTCTTGATCGGCCTACACACACACACACACATTGGTGGGGTCCGTAGCTCCTGTTATTTTGTGTGGTGGAATAAAGTTAGAATTGCTCTCTCTCTCTCTCTCTTTGTGTGTCCTTCCCTGTCTCCCTCTTCCTCCCCATCTCCTTCCCTCCATCCCCATCGCCCTTCACCCTTTCTTCCTTCCTGACGTTCTTCTCCTCTTTCCCCTCCTCTCCTCCCCTCCCCACACCTTTCCTTCACCTCCTCCTCCTCTCATACTCCCTCTACTCTTCTGTTATTCCTCCACCCATTCCTCTTTCCCTCTCGATCTTTCCCTCTCTTTTCCTCTCCCTTTCTCTATTCTTCTTTCCTTTTCTATCTTCTCTCACCTCTTCTTCCTCCCTCCATTTTCTCCTCTCCCTTACCTGCTTTCCTTATTCCCTTCTACTTCCCTCCCTCCCACCCACGTAAATACTTGTCTTTCTACCCAATCCCACGTCTCTCCCAAAACTCTCCTCCTCCCTCTCTCTCCCCATCTCTACTCCCCCGTCTCTCCTCCATCCTCATTCCCTCTTTACTCTCTCTCTTATTTCCCTACCTGTCTCCCAGCCACCCATTGTCCCCTGATCACCACCACTTCTCCCCACCACCCCTTCCCTCTCTTCTACCCCACGTTTTCCCTACCACCAATGTCTCCCCACCACCCCCATCTCCACTACCCAACGTCACCTCCTCCCCACTGTCCCTCACCATCCCTCATCTCCCTCATCTCCCCTCACCTCCTCTAATCTCCCCTACACCGCGTCCCCCCTTCCAACTGTCACTTGGACGGCGTCAAGTCCCCAGATTCAATTTTCTGGTTGTGTTGATCTAAAACTCCTCTCTTTCTCTTCTCTCTCTTCTCTCTCTCTCTTCTCTCTCTCTCTCTCTCTCTCCTATATATATTCAGCTACCCCAGGCGTAAGAGCTGGTCATCATATCCTGGTCGTGGAACTTCTTCACGTCCTTCACACTTACTGTAGTGGCTGAGGGAACGCTTGAGCGGAAGATCTTGAGGATAGAGGTCTTGGGCGGAAGATCGTGAGGGTTAGGTGTCAAGGAGGACGTGTCGAGGGTGGAGTCTTGAGTGAAGTCTTGAGTGAGAGGTTTTGACGAAAAGTTCTTGAGCAAGAGGTCGTAAGACAATGTCTCTAGCAGAGTCTGGAGGGAAGGTCTTGAGGGGACTCCTGAAATACATAGTGTGAAACATCGTCAAGAATATCAACCTAGATCTTCACACTACCTGTATGTACAAAAGCTGAAATAAAATACAGTTTTTTGGTATTTGTAGAAGGTATCAGGGCATCGGAGAGCCCAGATGTTCTATATTGTGATTTATTTAATAATAAGTGAAGTGTATTGAAATTCATTATCTAAAACTTAATATAGAGGCAGAAAAGATGTGTTTGGTTTGGTGAAGAGAAGAATTATTCTTATATATGATAAGTGACCTCGACTTCAGCCTTTATAAATTCCAAACAAGTAAGAATCATGTTCTCTCTGGGGTGACATAACCACCTGGATACAGTACTACTCTGAAGAGAATAGTCCTACAGAAATTCAACTTTATCCCCAGTGACGCGGTTGTAACACCTAGTTGATCTAGTGCAGTACAACATTGCAGTTTTGTGGTCCTGAAAGTCTGCCAGAACTATTACTTCTCTTTGACAGTAGACAAAATTCATATCTCCAATTTAGTTGCAGGATAAAGCATGCAGCTGTGGCCGTGTTCTTGTTATCTGGTCTAGACTATTTCATCATTTATCTTAGTCAACGTTTTCAGTCAGGAGTGGTTGGGGTGGGCAGTCCTCTGTGAAGTATTTGTTATGGTGAGGGGCGAGGCAGATCCACCAGGTGTTAGTAATAAAGGTCAGGTAATTTACACTGAGGTGGATTTGGTGGTAAATAAACTTTACGTGAATGTTGGTAAATACGCTTATGTTCTTATAGTTAGGAACAGGTGAAGGTATTCAGGTATGCACGAACACACACACACACACACACACACACACACACACACACACACACACACACACACACACACACACACACACCAGAGACACAGACAGACATACAGACAGACAAGATCAATCAGAGTGCTCAGGGTAATGGGAATGTGTAGTTGATGGCCTGAGGCATCGGTGCTCCCACTAATCTCCTAGAGAGGATAGGTATAGGGGGGGGGAAGTGAGGGTAGAAGAGAACAGAGGGGAAGGAGAAGAATAGATAGCGATAGGGAATTAGTAAAGGGACGATGAAGAGACAAGAGAAGGGGGAGAGAAAGAGGAGAAGAGGGAAAGGAAGAGTGAAGGTAAGGTTTAGTCTCGTTTCATCCCATACACTCACCCTCATATAGTCTACACCCCATACACTCACCCCATCATATAGTCTACACCCTAACACTACCCCACATATAGTCTACACCCCATACACTCACCCCATCATAGTTCACACCCATACACTCACCCCATCATATAGTCTACATCCCATACACTCACCCCACACACCACACCCCATACACTCACCCCTCATATAGTCACACCCCATACACTCACCCCATCATATAGTCTACACCCCATACACTCACCCCCCCCATATAGTCTACACCCCACACACTCACCCCATCATATAGTCTACACCCCATACACTCACCCCATCATATAGTCCACACCCCACACTCACCCCATCATATAGTCTACACCCCATACACTCACCCCATCATATAGTCTACACCCATCACCTACCCTCATATAGTCTACACCCCATACACTACCCTCATATAGTCTACACCATACACTCACCCTCATATAGTCTACACCCCATACACTCACCCCATCATAGTCTACACCCCACACACTCACCCCCCATATAGTCTACACCCCATACACTCACCCCTCATATAGTCTACACCCATACACTCACCCCCATATAGTCTACACCCCATACACTCACCCCCCATAGTCTACACCCCATACACTCACCCCCCATATAGTCTACACCCATACACTCACCCCTCATAGTCTACACCCCACACTCACCCCCATATAGTCTACACCCATACACTCACCCCCATATAGTCTACACCCCCATACACTACCCCCATATAGTCTACACCCCATACACTCACCCATCATATAGTCTACACCCCATACACTCACCCCATCATAGTCTACACCCATACCACCCCATCATATAGTCTACACCTACACACTCACCCCATCATATAGTCACACCCCACACACTCACCCCATCATAGTTGCTACACCCCATACACTCACCCCATCATATAGTCTACACCCACACACTCACCCCATCAAGGCTCACACCCCATACACTCACCCATCATATAGTCTACACCCCATACACTCACCCCATCATATAGTCTACACCCCATACACTCACCCCTCATATAGTCTACACCCCATACACTCACCCCATCATATAGTCTACACCCATACACTCACCCCCATATAGTCACACCCCATACACTCACCCCATCATATAGTCTACACCCCATACACCACTCCATCATAGTTCACACCCCATACACTCACCCCATCATATAGTCTACACCCCATACACTCACCCCATCATATAGTCTACACCCCATACACTCACCCCTCATATAGTCTACACCCCATACACTCACCCCCTCATAGTCTACACCCCATACACTCACCCCCATCATATAGTCTACACCCCATACACTCACCCCTCATATAGTCTACACCCCATACACTCACCCCATCATATAGCTCACCCCATACACTCACCCCATCATATAGTCTACACCCCATACACTCACCCCATCATATAGTCTACACCCCATACACTCACCCCATCATATAGTCTACACCCCATACCTCACCCACCATAATTACACACCCCTTGCTCACCCCCTCATATAGTCTACACCCTTACACTCCACCCATCATATAGTCTACACCCCATACACTCACCCCATCATATAGTCTACACCCCATACACTCACCCCATCATATAGTCTACACCCCATACACTCACCCCATCATATAGTCTACACCCCATACACTCACCCCATCAATGGTACTCAGGTACACAAACCATTTCGTGAAGTGCCTCAGTGACCCATCCCATGTTGGCGAGTTTACCCTTTGGCTGTGGGAGGGAGTGGAGGGTAGGAAGGAACGGAGGGACAGGTGGAGGGAACGGAGGGTGGTGGAAGGGCAGGAGGGAGGGAGTAGGGTGGAAGGGTAGGGAGGGAAAGGTAGAAGGGCAGGAGGGAGGGAGTAGGGTGGAAGGGCAGGGAGGGAAAGGTAGAAGGGAAATAACAGCATACAAATGACCCTTCAGGATATACCAAGACTTAACCTCATCCATTGGTTATTCATTTATTTGTATATTTATTATATAATTCTTATTGTTTTTCATCTCTATATTTGTGTTGTTTATTGTCTTATTTATTTATTTTGTTAGATCATGTTTTGTTTTTTTACTTATTTTTTTTTACATTTACTCTTATTTAGTTTTTATTTGTTTATTTATTTATTGTTATTTATTTATTTATTTTATTTATATTTATGTTAGTTATTATAATTTAAATACACATATACATTTATTTATTCATATATCCATTTATCGGCATACACGCTGATTCAGTTCCTAATTAATTACTTGGGGTTCATATTAAGTCTTCTCCACGACCCATTAATATTAGGTAATGAAACTTGGTGCAGTGAATATATTAGTGCAGGAATTATTAACACAACTTACCTACAATTGTTTATGGTCGCCAATTTAAATGTTAAAGTTGGTGGGTTCAGTGATGCAGTTGGTGTGGTGGTGGGTGGAGGTGGGTGGTGGTGGGTGAGCCGTGAAGGATGTTGGTGGGTGAAGATGGGTGATGGTGGTGGGTGGAGATGGTTGTAGATGATTATAGGTGGAGGTCTAATGGTTATAGATGGTTGTAGGTGGATATTAAGTGTTGTAGAGGGAGGTTATATTGTCATTGGTGGAGAGAGAGAGAGAGCAGTAAGTTAATACCAACACAACATAGTCAACACAGGAGAGACAATTAAGCCCGCTGGAGCCCTCTGCTACTCGATATTGTCAAGGAGGTAAATAAATACCTCCAGTGTCTCTACGTCAACACGCTGTATTTACTACTCGGAAAAGATACGTGAGTTATCTACTTTGTAACTCATTTTGATATTCAGTGAGATAAGTTGAGTTATTTAATTATCTACTTTTTTATTCATGATTCAGTGAGTTATGTGAGTTACTCTTAAAAGCGTCTGTGTGAGTTATCCTTAAGAACAGTTGGGTGAGTTACTCTTAAAGGCGTCTGTGTGAGTTATCCTGAAGAACAGTTGGGTGAGTTACTCTTAAAAGCGTCTGTGTGAGTTATCCTTAAGAACAGTTGTGTGAGTTACTCTTATAAGCGTCTGTGTGAGTTATCCTTAAGAACAGTTGTGTGAGTTACTCTTAAAGGCGTCTGTGTGAGTTATCCTTAAGAACAGTTGTGTGAGTTACTCTTATAAGCGTCTGTGTGAGTTATATACTTCATAAATACCTACTTCACGAGTCTCTTGGATCTCTACAGTGAATGTGAGTTACCAAACAAGTTTATAAATCCGTTTTTTGTTTTAATGTTCGTAAAGTTACAATCAACGATTTAGATATTTAAGGTAATTTTTTATTGCTTTTACCCCAGACTTTTTTTTTAGTAGTGTTTTTGTCACCGCCTCACAGATATTGTGTGTTTGTGTGTGTGTTTGTGTGTTTGCGTGTGTGTGTGTGTGTGTGTGTGTGTGTGTGTGTGTGTGTGTGTGTGTGTGTGTGTGTACATACTTGACAGTAAGAAACACAGTTGTCAACATTGGTCCAGCAGTCATTAGGGAGAACATAGTGTTATCCCTCACCGTGGAGTAATCCAATAATCGACTCTGGTAATGTAGTGCGTTAGTTCACCTCCCTATTACGGCGTGTTATGGCCAATTACGTCCCGTTGTAACCCAATTTGTCTTGCTTTTGAATATTGTCGTCGGCTATAGACCTTAGTGTGCCATTCTATAACCTCCTCCCGTTTTCTGTGTTCTCTTCCCTTTTCTGTGAATCAAATTTTTATGTTCTTAGATTTTTTCGCGATATGCTCCAATTTTGTGTAACTTACCTTTCTTTAAATCAAGGCCTTTTTTTTCAGCCACAT